GAAAAGAACTAGACCTATCTTGGCACTCACCAACTAAGGAGAGCCAACTAATTCGGAAAAGCACATTTAAGTTCATTGGCAATTTACAAAAAGTTAATCAGTGTAATCAGTACTTTTACTACTACTGTTTGCTAGTCTACAAGCAATGCTTTCTCAGTCTTGGTCATCCAAATATTTCAGACTTCAGCTCCCAGAATTCCTGAAGGAGAACTTTTGATTTCCTGTGAGAGGATAGATGGATAACCTCCATAGGATCTCTAATGAAGCAGTGCATCACTGTCAAGAATTAGGACACTTATATATGGTAGCTTATCCAGCAAGAAAAGCCCCAAATAAACAAAGTCTCTCAGAGAAAAACACCTAATACCTCGAAAGCTGGTGCAAACATTATGAAGTTCTTTATCAAACTAATGGGTTCCTCTTAGCTACTGGTTCTCAACCTGTGGTTGCCCTACAACTCCCAGAAATCTCAGCCAGTTTACCAGCTGTTAGGATTTCTGGGAGCTGAAGGCCAAAACATCTGGGCACCTACAAGTTGAGAACTACTGCTCTTAGTCAAAGGATCTCAGCTTTTTCTTTTTCAATTTCCAGAATTATTTGCCATTGGATGGGGCTTCTGGAAGTTGAAGTCCAGAGTTTGGAAACCACTGATAGAGAACAGGAATATAGGATCATTCACAGATGTATATAATAATGTGAACCTAAACATCATAAAAACAAAAGATAGCACAAGAAACTGAAGCCCATGATTAATTCTGTTTGAGTTTTAAAGCATGCTTTACTTGGGTTCAATTGATCCCTGTGTAAATGTTGGCAGATCCCTAGAGATGGCTGTGTTACACTTGCATTGCCCACAGTTGCATTTGAGAAGTGTTTGCAGTATCTGTATGCTTATTTACACGGGCATGTGCTGTGGCATTTGGTGAGGCAAATGCATAGAGAGATGGTTCTATACAGAGGCAATGTGGAACTGCAAGTGATTTGACACACGAGTGCCTGGATGCAGGGTAGCTTTCACAGCAAACAGATTTCTGTTAGCAGAAGCAACACATGCAAACAGACATATTAAGGACCTGTGTCTGCCAGTGAGCCACAGCTGAGATGTGGCAAGGATTTGGCTTCCAGACCTATGAACATTTTGGCTGCCCTTCTCTCGGATGTATTCCAGCTTGTCAATACCCTTCTTGTCCCAATATGCAGCTTGTCCCAACCTTGGTGCCAGGATCACCAGGTGCCTGTTGAAACCAATGCCAGTTTGCTGTCCATTCTCGAGCTATGAAGCAGCAACATGTACCCCTTTGCACCTTTTTGTGCTGGCAACTTTGCTGGGATGGGGCATTTACGAAGGAAGGTTAAGGAGGATGTGTAACCTATATTGTGATTGCTGTGGTGCACATAAATAACAAGTTCAGGTTGGGTAACCTTTATCCAAAATTCTTAAATTGTCCGCTTCGTTGGCTGAGATAGTTACTTCTTTGCTTTCTGATAGTTCAGTGTGCACAAAATTTGTTTTATGCATGACAGTATTAGAAAATGTGTTGTTGAAGGCTTTCATGGCCAGAATCATTGGGTTGCTATGAGTTTTCTAGGCTGTGTGGCCATGTTCCAGAAGCATTCTCTCCTAACATTTCACCCACATCTATGGCAGGCATCCTCAGAGGTTGTGAGGTCTGTTGGAAACTAGGAAAGTGAGCTTTATATATTTGTGGGATGTCCAGGGTGGGACAAAGAACTCTTGTCTGTTGAAGGCAAGTGTGAATGTTGCAATTGGCCACCTTGAGTAGTATTGAATAGCTTTGCAGCTTCAACGCCTGGCTGGTTGCTGCCTGGGGAAATCCTTTGTTGGGAGGTGTTAGCTGGCCCTGGTTGTTTCATGTCTGGGATTTATTTATTTATTTAAAAGTTTTATATACCGACCTTCTCACCTCTCTTGAGGGACTCAGACCGGTTTCCAACCATAAAATACATACAGTCAGTAAACATACTTCATATTGCAATAAAACATTAAAAACATTAAAACAGCAAAACAGCAATTACACTCCCCCTGTTTTCTGAGTGTTGTTCTTTATTTACTCTCCTGATTTTAGAATTTTGTAATACTGGACTATTAATTAGGACTATTTTTGACCAGTAACTTTCAAATAATTGGAAATGACATTTATCTGACATCTATCACTCCCTATGTGTGCTGGTTAACTGTGATGTGTGGGTGTCCATGTATATGTATGTATATTATATAGCTTAGGTACCTGGTGATGCCTGGACTAATTATTTGGTGATGATAAATATAAGAAATCCCGATTGTTTGGTTTTGGATGTTATGAATAGTCCATTTTTTTCCCATGACAGGAGCAATTTGAGAAACTGCAAGTTGCTTCTGGTGTGAGAGAATTGGCAGTCTGCAAGAACGTTGCCCAGGGGACACCCGGATGTTCTGATGTGTTACTATCCTTATGGGAGGCTTCGCTCATGTCTGTGCATGGGGAGCTGGAGCTGGTACAGGGAGCTAATCTGCACTCTCTCCAGGTTCGAACCTCCAACTTGTTAGTGTTCAGTCGGGCTGGCAGTGGGGTTTAACCCGCTGTGCCACCGGGGGCTCCTATGGTGCTATTAGGAAATGCATAATGATTGTGGGTAAGCTACAACTCCTATCATCATCTATCAATGTTCTCAAACCCTACCAGTACTTAAAGTTGGCCATGTTGGGTATATGTGCTAAGTTTGGTCCAGATCCATAGTTGGTGGGGTTCACAGTGCTCTTTGGATGTAGGTGAACTACCAGTGGCCAACATCCTTTCAAGCAACTGGAAACAACATTTGCTTCCAGTTCCATTATCAAAATCATGCATGGGCAAACTTCGTCAAAGGGTTTGAGGAGGATGCTGATGCTGATGATATGGATTTATATTTTTCTTCTTTTTCCCAAAGGAAACACAAAGGGGTTAGAATAAAAGTAAAGGTTTCTTCCTGACATTAAGTCCAGTCTTATCCGACTCTGGGGGTTGGTGCTCATCTCCATTTCTAAGCCGAAGAGTCAGCGTTGTCGGTAGACATCCCCAAGGTCATGTGGCCAGAATGACAGCATGGAGCGCTGTTACCTTCCCACTGGAGCAGTACCTATTGATCTACTTACATTTGTATGTTTACAAACTGCTAGGTTGGCAGAAGCCGGGGCTAACAGCAGGAGCTCACACCACTCTCCAGATTTGAACCTGCAACCTTTTGGTCAGCAAGTTCAGCAGCTCAGCTCTTTAACCCACTGCACCACCAGAGATTCCTTCAAAAGACTAAAAAATGATACAATATGTAAATTAAAACCCAAAGCATACACCAAGCATGGGTCAACATTTGTTGGGAAGTAGCAGCTTGTAATGAAATGACCAAGGCATTGACATCTCTGGCCCATCCTCTGTTCGGATATCAGCCAGCAACCCAATGCCTAAAATCAAGAAATAGCTTCTTAAGATTTGCAGGGATACTCACAGCTTTTGAAGACGGCTCGGAAGCTGCAGTTAGTCCAACGATCGGCAGCCATGATACTAACAGGAGCGGAGCGCAGGGAGCATACAACTCCTTTGCTGCACCAGCTCCACTGGCTGCCGATTTGCTACCGGCCCAATTCAAAGTGCTGGCATTGGCCTTTAAAGCCCTAAACGGTTCTGGCCCAACATATCTATCCGAACGTATCTCAGCCTATCAGCCCACCAGGACCCTAAGATCTTCTGGAGAGTCCCTGCTCTCTGTCCCTCCGGCTTCAGAAGTGCGGCTGGCGGGAACGAGAGACAGGGCCTTCTCTGTGTTGGC